TTCGAGACGATGCTTAGTATTCTACTGGAAGAATTTGTTCATAAATGTGTAGAGATATCAGGTATTTTTTGGAACCAGGAGAATTGAAAAATTAGCAAACGCCTTCGCCGGGAATCGAACCACGGACCTCTGGGTACCAGCCCAGGGTGCAAAGCCACTAACTACACCCCGAAGGCACGCTAGGAAAGCGGGAGAAATACCTCATAAATGAAAAGCAAATTTCTTCGATGGAGCAATTAAACGTACAAATGGGTATTTCGAAAAGCACTTTAAACAACAAATTCTTGAATAGGATTCACGTTTAATTCTGCGATCCTATATTCTGCGATTCAGCTGTTGAAAGACGAAGACTGTAACTTCTAAATAAATATTTTACAGTTTTTATTTTATTTGAATATTACGTTGCACCTTATATATCTCTTTATATATATATATATGTGTTGTGTGTGTGTGTGTGTGTGTGTGTGTGATGTACCAGCTTTTGTCCGGAATAAATAGAATGCTGAAGAATCATAAATGTAGTCGTAGCTTAAATTATCAGACGATAAGTTTAAAAAACAGGATCCATTTATTATTGGTCAGGAGAAATAGCAGTTATAAAATCATATTTCCGGAGTAAATAAAAAAGAATTACTAATAACTTTTTGTACGAAGTTTACTGCATCGTTATATTTAAGAAAAAGCCGTCGATATTCCTTTGTGAGTCTTTTATAGCCTCTGAAAAGGCGCAGCTTCAAAGAAATGACGTCAGCCTCGTCAGCCAATCCAGTTCGCTTTAAATATTTCCAGAACATTCTATAACTGTACGTGTAGAAAAGGCGGGAAAAACAACTTGACTACGGGGCTGTGGATTTAATTCCACGTACTTTCAAATAAGAGACCGTCGCCATTAAAAAAATGAGAAGAACATGCAGTTAGAATTTTAAGTGTATTCTTGACTATGGAATTTTATTATTACAAATATATATATATATATATATATATATACACTGCATTTCAATTATCATTTTGCATTTGTTTGCTTTATTGTTTTGCCATTTAATTCGTCGAGTTTTCAAGTGTTATACTTTTAGATTTCCGTCAGAAACTTGAAAGGCAACATAAACATGCAAGAGCTCCTGAAACTAAAATAATAATTTATTTTATAGCCAGATATTTGATTATATCTGAGTATTGCATAACAGATACGCTTACTTCAAGATCTTTGAATATAAGTTTCGCAATCTTGAAACTTCAGGACGACTATTTAACCGTTATCCATTGTTGCTGAGGGCGAATCGTCGACATTAATTCACTTAAATATAAACTTCTAGCTATTACATCAAATTCGGGCTAACGGGCTGGCTGCATGGGTATCTTAATGGTTTTCCCTACAAGTAAACGAGAATACGAGACAGTTTCTCTTAAAACATCCTCCATGAACGCATCCCTTCTTTTAGAAAGAGAGAGCTCGTGTGCTTTGCCATAACCAAATAAATAGGACCAGTCTAGCTGTTAGAAGATTTAAGCAAAATTGCCACAGAATGTAATTCTCACTGTCTGGTAAAAAAATCTTCATAAAGCTGTGGCCACATAATTAATCACAAGTTTCTATAGACAAAGGAAACAAACATGTGATTGGAAAGATTATGAAATAAGGCAAAGTACAGGAGAGTTAGCAGCCTAAAGGTAGGAATGCCTTTACGGAGGACTCTGAAGGAAGCTGATTCGTGTTCATGTTACACATGGGAGAATCGCGAAAGCACCCATGCAGCTGGTATTATACCGATCGAATTGTTATTACAATACATAAATATTACATTATAAATTGAATTGGATCTTGAAAGCATTACATCATTTAACTTATTCCGGGGTCTTGTCAGTTTTGCTCAAAACTCAGTTCCTCTCTCGGAAAGGAAACATGAAAAATCAGCTGTTTTTCTCTTGGGGATTCGAACGTCGAATCTTCCAATTGCTAGCTGGATGTGCTAACTGCTTATCCTGCAAGAGCACCGAAAGTCGAATGCGATTATTCCTTATATTTTCTTTCATTTAATGAGTAAGTGAGGAGAGGCACCTTGCCTAACTCCAAAAGCACATAAGTCAGAATGCGATAATTCCTTATAGAAGTAACATGATTTCTTAAAATGCACTGAGATAATTCTATATGCAGGTAACATCATCTCTAAAATGTGTTGAGATAATTCTTTATATAAGTAACATGCTCTCAAAATGCTCTTTTTTTCTGAGGAGGTAAATACGTTTTGAGGATCCGTTAAAGATTGTATGAACCCATACATTGAAAAAAAAATATGATCATCCTAGAACTCATCTCCAGCTACTAAATTTTCTTACAATTTTGATTTCAATGTTGCGTTAGAAATACCTTTAAATGCAATATACATGCGAATAAAATGTTTTCAAGCACCCCGTAACCTGAATTTTAAAAATCTCACGCAGAAAATGCTGTGACGCAATAAGTTCAGTAAAATGTTTCAAAAATTAAAATAAGAGGTGATATTCTACACTGTAACCATGAGAACACAGGTAAATTTATAGGAAAAGCTCATTTGCAAACGTCGTAAATTTAAATTTTTGAACGTTGCTTCACGAGGAAAACTGCCTTGAAGGGAGGAAACTACCTGATCTTTTATGAGATTCCCTGCAACAATTTTACGCCGACTTTTGCTTCGCCGCGTTTCACATGACAGTGCTCTCACTCGATTCCAATAAATCGCAGGCAACGAAATTTGCGATTAAATTCTTTCTGAAATTCATGCCTCGTATTAAAATATCAGCTTCCGCAATTTTCTGAGTAACAGAAGTGAGTTCACGTAATCGAAATATGGAGAAAAGGCGAACTTTGACATTTTTCTACGGAAAAGAATAAGAAATAAATGAGATTGCGCTGCCTTTTGACGTCATTCCCAAAAGGCAGAGCTTACGCTTTTCAGTCCTTTCTTTTTTTACTTTAAAGACGAGAAAATTCATGTAAAAGAGTCGATACAGTAGGAAAAGAACAACATGAGAATTTTGAAAAGAATTCATAAAATGCAAGATACTGACAAAGAACAAGTAGCCATCCTATCTGTACTGCGAGAGCAAGTTTCTTCAAGTAGTGTGAACAAATTTTAAAGTATTAATAATAACGTAAAATCATATAGAAACTTTTAAACCTCTAACTAAATTTGTAGGATATTTTTAAGTGATCTATTCGTTCATTAATCCCGGTAGATTTTAATAATTTAAAATTATTCGTTGTGAAGTTTCTAGAATTACTTTTAACTGCGGCGTGAAGGTTTTGAAGCAAGATTTGTACATCTTAACTTTAATAAAGGTCTCCTCTAGGTGTTACTTATTTCAAGCGGAATGCTTATAAATTCAAATCAAATCGGAAGCATATTTTCGATGCACACTGCAAGTCTCGCGTAATTCATGCAATATTTTCATGAACTTTCATTTACACCTGAGGTGTCCAACCCACAGCCCAAAGCAAGTATCAGTGCAGCCAAAAAAGCGAGCGCTAAGCGCAGAAGAAATATAAAGACCTCCCTCACCCCCCTCGATGATATATTAAAGTGTTGCGATAGGGACTCCAAATTAGATTTCAAAATGGACGGGAGGGTTATTTGACGTTCCTTATGGGAGCGAAATAAAATGCGTTTTGAGTGGCCAAATAAAGCAATCCCAGATTAATGCAAACAATTATTAACATTTCAACACACTGGACAAGCGTAACCTTAAAAAAGGGTAAAATAGGCAGTCTTAGTTTTCAGTTTATGAAAATAGATTTCATGATTTTCGAAAAACTAATAATTTTTTGTTATTATTTTTGTGACTGCATTTACCGTCGATATAGATGTTGCCAGCAAATTTTCAAAAAGAACGCACTGGGTTGCTATCTGACATTCAATTTAAGGAAACATTTCATCCCGTTGACTTTTAGAAATCATACCTACCCAGAGACAAGTGGGCCACACTGCACAGTCGTTATTCATGTCATCATAATTTAGCAGTTCGTACATTTGTGAACACCTGTTTTTCAAGAGTGTAGCGCATTAATAGTAAAATTAGAACCAGAATATCGAATTAACCCTTGAGAACTCGCTGAGAATTGCAAACATTTCAATCGAATCAGAATGAATCAGTTTTTCCAATTCAAGATCAAATATTACGTTAATTTTATCTTTCTTGCTATCTTTGTAATTATGAGCAAAATTTGTAATGAAATTTTATGCATAAAAAGTCAATTGTAGTGTCAAAATAATTCTATATTGCTGTCATCACATTGTGTGAATCGTCATCATGTGAATCAAATGAATCACTGTTTCACCTATAATCTTTAATGTATGCGTTTTCAGATAAGGTCGTTCAGGGACATCTCAACACCTTAAGGGAAAATTATGAATAACTAGTTGATATTTAAGGATTTTATCATTTATTTTTATAAACAAATAATTATTTCTGTATTAGTAACACATTATGAAAATTTGGCTTACCTGAAAAACATCATAGGTCATATAAATGCAATGAAAAACATAAAAGCCAGATGTCCACTTCTCCCTTAACTGCGGGAGATCTCGACAGGTATCTACGGGGGCGGCAGGTACAATTCAGAACAATTGCTTTTTTTTTTTTAAGAAATAAGGACAACGCTCTATGGAAAAGAAAGATTGACGGACTAAACTTATATTAACAATGCAACAATATATATCCTCCTTTTTAACTATGTACATTTGTTGCATGTAAACTGGGGTTGATTTCCATTTTGTACACACGCCTCATGGAACCACGTATTACATTCTCCAACATATTTCACCCACTTCTGTCCGGCAGTATCATCAAAATAGTACCCACCGCACTCGCCACAGTAATTTTCACTGTCTTCAAGATCCCTCGAGGTACTGGGTTGAGTTCCTCCCTAACGTCTAAGTTCCTTGTTGGTGTTTTACTGCGCAGTTGATTCCTGTATTCTGCGGATGTTATAATGATTGATTCTTGTTTTTTCTCCTATTCCGTACAGAGTGGTTCTGTTCTACTGGTACAGGGGATAATTCCGAAAATGATGTTGAAGCTGATGCAGTAGATGGTGATGGTGACCTCTGGAGGTTATCGTCTTCCTCTACCATAACTCGAATGGTGCCATTTGTAGTAGACATGAGTTCATATTTAAACACATTGTCTTCCAAAATATGGGGATTGTATGGGTATATTCCACCTTTTCGAAAGCCATTGGCAAATTGCCTGACTCGACTGTCTCCCCGTAACCTACTGTCGAAATCTCCCCGAGTTACATATTTCTATGAAAAATGGCAGCAACCCCCTCTGACTGGCTATGAAAACTTTATGCGTAGACATCCATGTTCCTGAATGCCTGATCTCACTAGCCAGTCATTTGGAAATCGTCAAAAATCGAAGCCATCGTCCACATTTATCATCGTTATCAAAGCCAATCTTATACTTTATGCATTGCAAACTATGAAGAACTTAACTGACAGATTATTAATATTTATTTTCTTGATCAATCTCTGACTTTACAACACTTTCGATTCACAATGACGCACTACACTCTTAGGTTATTCCAATACAGTGGTTTCGATATGCGACACCAGGGTGCAGACCACTCTACTAAGGGACTTCCTTAAAAGTGTCGAAATGTCCCTGAACGACTATATATAGTACACACTGAGTAAATTTGAATTAGCGCAATTAAACCAGCACATTTCTTTCCTAGAGATGAAATTCAAAAATTTCTTTTAGCGGTCAAACCTGAGCCAAACCGAGAATTTCCAATAAAACCTACGCAGTTCTGTGATTCCTTTAGTTGAGAGGTCACTAGCTGCCACTGGTATTAGAAATAATTTGTGTGGTCCAAAGTATCTCAGCTTCTTTCATTGTTTCCCAGGCAAGCTAAAAGATTGAGCCGCCCAACCGGTATAGTGACCGGTCGCTGACTGCCGTGCCGAAGGGCCTGGGTTCGAATCGCGGAGAAGGCATGGACGTTTGTAAATGTATTCGCTATCCATGTATGGCGAATGTTGTAAATGTATCGTGGCATGGCGGCACTCTAAATATTCGGCCAGCCGAAAGTCCTCTCGTATGGTTTGGTGGAAGGGCAGAGGTCTGGGAGGCCCTCGGACCCGTCCCCCTCCCGGGGTACTCTCCTTCAAAATTGAGGGTGATTCACCTGAATGGTGCTCAAAGCTGTTGCCAACAGCAGGCGCAATCTAGCGTCTAGCGTTCCTTGCCATGACGAATTTCGTGGGCTTGGGCTGAGTAGGTCAGAGAAGTGAGCATATGCAACAACAGCTAAATGATTGTACACTTCTGATTTACATGATGATTTTAAATTACAGCCTTTTATTCAGGCACTGTTAAATCAATATTTAAAGTTTAACAGTGCAGAAACGCAGCTCCAGATTTCAAGGTATAATTTTGGCAAACGCAGTTTGCCAGTTTCGTTTTCAGCTCAAGAAAATAAACTCGGAGACAATGTCTTCCATCTTAAGTTCTTTTTAATGATGTTTATATTGTTTGATTAGCTATTATTTTTTCCTGTCTCCTAGAGAAGCTTTTCTTTTCTTTAAACAAACTCGAAGACAATGTCTTCCATCCTAAATTCTTTTTAATGATGTTTATATTGTTTGATTAGCTGTTATTTTTTCCTGTCTCCTAGAGAAGCTTTTCTTTTCTTTAAACATTAAAAAAAGCAATATCCGCCTTTGCAAAGTAACACTTTGAGTAAGGGGCTAAATTTTTCTGTGGATGGCAAAGAAATTACGATGTAGTTTCAAAAATAGGTACGCATACTTGTCGTTAACAAATATTATTTTATCTCCATTTACTGAAAACCATTAATTTCACTGTAAAAATCATATATATAATTAAATGCTTTCTTGATAAAATGTTACAAAAGCAATTGGATATACAAAACGAAATTATCTAATTTCTTCATCCCGAAAAGCTTTAGTAATGAAGGAAGATTTAATAACTGCAGTTAACTTAATATTCATATCATCGACAGTAAATTTCAGTATTATAATAATATGACTTAGAGCTTTGAGAGTCCCTAGACCACAGTTATCTTTTCGCTTGGATATTTGGAATCATATTTAAATATCTGCAAGTATAAATTCTTCCTGATATTGTTATTACTCTTGACTATTTGAAAGCCTTCTTCAACCTGATTCAGATATCTAAAAGTAACGATAACAGCATAAAGATTCCATACTTGCCGATCCGTACTTCATCGTCTGTGTTCACAATGAATTCCAGGTCAATTAGGGAGCGGATTATGTGAGCAGCGAATTAATCTGGTCTTGTTTAAAACAAAACTTTACTTTTGTGGAATGACGGGAAAATTTCTATCACAAACTGTCGCTTACTACCGTACCGATGGCCTGTGTTTGAATTCTGGAGAACTCATGACTATTTTTAAATGTATAATGTCTCTGCGGCATGGGGGTAAAACATAGCGGGAAGTCTTCTCGGGTGGTTGGTTGTAGAGAAAGAGGTATAGGAAACCTTCTGACCGCCCTCTGGGAGTGTCCAGTAAAATTGGGACGAAGCTTAACAGTTATCAAGGCCCGGTGATACCTTCCGGAATGAACAAGGGCCAGCCTTGTTTCATATTTTTGTTGTATCTGTCACCTACTTTCAACGTAAAACAAAATTGTCTACGGAAATACAAAAGTATATATATATATATATACTTAGGATAATGGCAGAGATAGCAGTTAATTGTCACATCATTAGGAAGTTGTTTTTATCCACGACGCTGTAGTTTCAAATGGTTGGATACTTGCAACTAAATATATTTGTCGGGAATGCCGTACAATCCAAACCCGTCCATCATTTAGCCGTCTCACCACCGAGAACGTTGCTCAAAATCAACCACGGGGCTGACCGAATTACACCTGGGAGATAGAAGCTCGGTCTAAATTTTGACGGAGGACATCCCGGAAACAAATCTAAGATTCTCCCACCGTCTCTTTCTCTACCACCAAATCTGTCAAGAGGGCTTTCGGTTCGACCGTAATTTAAGTATCGCCATGCTGTAAAGATTCTTCACGCATACTTAATCCATGTTTTCTTTGGAATTTATACACGGACCCAAGGCTATGGCATTCGGCATTCCCACCGCCATGTCCATAGGGCGTTATTTATCCACACAGTGTGCAATTTAACTGCTCATAATCCGGAATATGTAAACATTGTATTGTAAAAAAAAGTTGTGACCGACTTTTTTACGTCAGTTTGACCCAATGACATTGTTCTGCTTCTCTTTTTAAGTATTGTCTTTCAGTTCCGTTTATAAATAACTAATTTCTTCATTTTAAACAATGTTTATTCTTCCGTCATTTACAGGGCGTTGCTTTTGTTCTGAATAATGATTCACTTTACGTAATAGAATGAACTTCAGCGGTTCTCAACGAGTTCTACGCGTACCTCTGGTGGTACGCAAGAGAAAAATAGTTGGTAAGCAAAGAAACGTATTTTTAACTATTAAATTCAAAAATTAAACACACACAACAACCTGTTTAAGTTTTTTCTCTAACACTCGTAAAATTATGCGCTCTGAGCTTTGTTCGAAGTCAATAGCCGTTCATACGCTTTAGCAAAATAATCCGTTTTTATTTTTACATTCGTTTAGTCAAAGACATAACAAAACTTGTCATAAATGGTGTTTTTAAAAGGCGGAATAGAAATGTATGTTGTCTTTAATAGGAAATAAAAATAAGTTCCTATGAAAAGATAATAGTATCTCATTAATTGGTTTAGAGTTGATCGAGTTATTAGCATACCTTCACTTTACACTGGTGTACAAAAATTAAGAACGAAGTCGAAAAATTAGCATATCAGCTGAACGAAGAGGCAGAGCGGACAGAAAGACCAATCAGGAGATTAAGTAAGGTGATGTACGGTAGCACATGCGCAAATATGCAGGTAGACGCAATGGGGGAGTGTCTGAGTAGTATAAAGCATGTTGTCGGTGGTAAGATAAGTATTTCTGGCAAAGAGATTGCACGCCGTATAGCAGTAAAATCACACCGAGTTGCTGCCTCAGCAAGAAATGGCGAATAATCAATCTGTCTGACGACATCTGGATGCTTTTACCCGAGGTCTAATCATTGGGAAGTTGGAGGAAGGCCGCAGTGTGACAAGTGTGGCTGCAGAGCTCGTAATTGCTCACAGCATCGTTTCACGACTTTGGAGACAATTTCAAACAGCTATCCGGGGGTTTAGTAGTGGTCATCCACGAGGAACCACACCCGCATATGACCGGTATATTGCCTTACAGGCCAGAAGAAACAGGCGGCAGATAGCGGGAGAAATCGCTAGACACACGACACAGGCGACTGGACGACCGATATCGCGTTTTACCGTGGCCAGAAGACTACACGGTGGTGGTCTGTTTGCACGACGCCCTGTACGGTGTGTACTTCTAACGCCTGCCCATCGGAGAAGGCGTTCTCTGTGGTGCCGGGAACACCGGAATTGCAGAGACAATGAATGGGGCGAGTACTCTTTACAGATAAGAGCAGATTCAGTCTGAATAGCGATTCTCATCGCATACTCATCTGGAGAGAGCGGGGAAGCAGCAATAATCCCTCGAACATCATTGAAAGGGACAGGTATGGAGGTGGAGGTGTTCTCGTTTGGGGAGGCATCATGCTTGGTAGTCGTACAGACCTTCACATCTTCGACGCAGGTTCAGTCAACGGGACCCGTTATTGTAACGAGATTCTTCGTCCATATGTGCGTCTTTTTAGAGGCGCTATGGGTCCGCAGTTCCTTTTCATGGACGACAATGCACCATGTCATCGCACAGTAGCTACCGAACAGCTCTTAGAGAGTGAGGATATTGAACGCATGGATTGGCCGTCACGATCTCCGGATCTCAATCCCATCGAGCATGTATGGGATTTTCTAGGCAGACGCTTGGCAGCTCGTACCTTACCACCAGTAACGATTCCGGAGCTTCGATTGGCGCTGCAAGACGAATGGGCAGCAATGCCTCAACAGCTCATTGACACCCTCATTCTCAGTATGGGCAGACGCTGTGAAACCTGCCTAGCAGTCAGGGGAGATCATATCCCCTATTAAAGACCGGATGTTTCTTGCTGGATACCCATCACAGGGATGTTTCGGCCTTCAG